ATCCTAAACGCCATCTTTTTATAGACCGAAACAACTACCGATGTCCATGGTGTTATAGATACATACACCCTAAACGTTTTAATCTAATTCTAAGTATATGATCAGATCAACGTAATTTCCCCATATACAAATCATCTCCAATTCCATCATCTGTTGACACTGGCCAGTTAGAAGCCCAGGACCACAAATGCCTTAAGACTTTATTGGTTAAAATAAAACCACCAGCTGCGTCTAGTTTGCAGTGGAATTTTTGGCCATTAATGCAACAAATCGCAAGCTGGTATATGCTCGCTAATTGGCTACTCGTGCTATCAATCACTTGACCGGTGTATAAGAATGACAATTTTAAATATTAACGTGTAATTTTGAGTTAGCAACGAATCAAATGGATATCAGTGCATTTTATTGGAGAACATTAAACATGTAAGACAGCTTAGTCTGACCTTCCTGTAAAGAATAATAAACAGAAAGTCTTGGTGGGTTTAAAACGAGGTGACTGGACAGCGTTACTAGGATTAAACTATATGAATATATAGACCTTAATTAGTTATCTATTGTAGACTAAATTACATGCCACAACAATGCTCTCTTCCATATCGTACTGTCAGCAAATTAACTGACAGCATACCGTGTTAGAAAATATATATATCGTGCATTTTCAACTGACTGAATTGTTTCATTTCATTGAGCATTTAAGATTTGACAAATTTGGTGGTTAAATGCAGCAGCTTGGATATACTGAATATAGAATAATTGTAATAAATACTTATGGACATATTTTGGCGAATAAGCATTAAATGCATCATATATTTTGGGAAAGCACCTTGTGTTATGGGAACAGCATTTATGATTAGACAGTGTCAGATTTAAGGCAGATGTGTACGAGTGTTGAGCACTAATTTACATGTAAAATAACAACACTTTCGAAGAATTTACATGTCCACGAATACAAATGACTGGCAAACAATCCACTGCAGAAAAATATACAACTGACAAAGACATCACAGAATATACATTAGACAAATAATTAAAAAAAAGATACATTGACCTCTGATATGAATAAGTTGTCTCGAAACAAGTGGGCACATTCTGCTCCACGTGGTGCAACCGCCATATATTCATATATATTCTTATTATGGTTTCGGTAAGGTCTATATCTGACAAGTGACATTAGTGTCATGTGAGATCATCATTTAATCACACATTTAAGCTCATTGTATATCAACAAATATCAATGAATATGTTTATTATTTGGTTCAATTTTTTTAAACCGAAAATGGCTCTCTGTGTCTACACAGAAATAACCTAACTATACACTACCATACACATAATATCTTGTCACTAATAGCGTTGTATGGTTCAGTAAATATTTCATATGGAAGCATGCTTAAAACATTCTCTACAAACCCTGGTTTAGTAATTTGGACAAATGGAAACAATATCTCTTTAAAAATGTTTGCATATGTACTACAGGCCATAACATAATAGCGTATGAGCTGCTACCCAGTAGGTAGAAGATATTGCGGTAAATAATAGAAAATTGATGAAGATTATATTGAATTGCATCTAGTTTGTCATATTGTCTGGTAGAAGATTGACCCTTACCGTCAAATGTAATACACAGATTGATTAATAAGCTCACCTGGATTGACCAGTTGAATATAATCATTAAATTTAGGGTCATCAATGGACAGTTCTGCATATCTGAATGTGAAATTAAAATGTTTATTTCTTTGTACTTTAATTACGACCAAAGAGCACAATTAGTTCTCACTGAGATGCCAACATTACGTTGTAAAATATACACCCAAACTCTGCTAAATACCTTAGAATACTTATATGGTTAATCTGTTGCAGAATTTCCTCCTTATAGTCAACAAGTATGATTGGTCGTGATGAATTCACTTTCTTGACAAAGCAGGCAAGTTCAAACCTACATCTTTCAATCGTTGTTAAATCAAAGAATTGCAGGGACGAACATCCGGGTCACTCAGAGTTACTGGGAGTATACGCCAACGTGTTCAGAAAGACAGCGACAAACAAACTGTTCGAGAAGCTACATTTACTATACATCTTCCCGATAAACTGAACTTGACTTATAGTGGAATTATTATGCATCAAAATGTACCATCTTGTAAATATCGCTTCACTGTTCTTTCTTTGTGATTTGCATTTCTTAATAATGGGAGATGGAGTTAATTAGGTTGGTATCATAGAATTAGGACACGTTACACTTGATAATTATATGGTAATCTTATTAGCAATATCGTATCGTACATTCGTACTAATTGATTTACTTTATCAGAAATAATTGTTTAATGGGGTGGGCAGGACCTCTGTCTGATAATATTAATCAAATTACAAACTTAGATTACATTCAATATACCTTATTTAAGACTTCATATGAGCACACAACCTGTCACTTTCTGGTGGTACATATACGTGCAAAGTCTAGACGGATAAGTAGTACATGATATTCTAGTGTATCAGTTAGTCGAGACTATGGTGACGCGTATCTGGTATACTTCCTCGTGGCATCATATCCCTGTCAACCATAATAAAATCGTTCCAACACTGATAAAATGGTTGCCATTTATTAGCTTCCATGCAACTTCAAACTTGTTAAAAGTCTACATCCTTGTAATGAGCAGGGGTACAACGTACTGCTAAATGTATAAATTCTGGCCATCTTCATTCGTGAGTACACTTCTCCCTCATGTAACCAGAAAGTATTATGCAAATGAGCCACTTAATGTGCATATACTTTAAAAACGAGATCATATCACGTAATTTTGTGTTCAGTTTGAAGCAGTGGGTCACAGATAGTTTCATCTTTGATTATTGTTCGTCTGAAGCCAAAATAATAACATTATTAGCCTGAGAATTTTAGAAACATCTGGCTTAAGAGGTTTTTTTTAGTTCTCTTCAAAATAAGAACTGTTGCAAAATGAGTCCTCAACACAGCATGCATCAGGTATTTTATTATAACAGTTTTACTGAACAACTTTGATTTAGTCGCAATGTATTTTAATTCACAAAATTAAAATCCACATAATAAAAAAAATATACATACATATCAGCTATTTATGAACTGAAATCTGTTTGAAAATTAAAACTGTACTACAATGAATAATCAGAACAAACGTGAAGTTGTAATAATTAGTTAATTTATATAATTAGCTAATCACATATGCAATAACTAATTTCTGTGTGTCTGCCTGCAGTGGAGATGTGCATTAGCCGTGATCGTGAAATCAAACCCAGTTTTGAGTGTTTGTAATGTACCAGTAATTTATATCAGGAGTTTTCATCTGCATGATGTTCCCAGGGAAAGTCGTTCTTACCATGAAATTACTTGGCCTTTAATGTGTGCAGAAATATACTCTGCATCTCGTTTGTGACGTCAGTGAATGTACTTGCATATGTATATCCAGACACCATAGACTCATGTTTATTTGGAATCGTCTTTTGGAGTCCTTAGAGGGATTTTGTTATATTATATAAGCTATATACGCAAATAGAGGCATACATGTATAGGGAAGTTAATAAGAATATACACTCCTGTGCCACTGTGTTCATTATAGTTAAAATAATTTAAATGTGTCATTAAATATTAATTGTATAATCACAAAACTCAGCAGACACAGTAAAACCTTATTATTATATTTACATTGTTTCACAGCAAGCTGTGGATACTGTTAACATAAATAAACATGGTTGTGCCAAAAATATAAATATCCTAGAATATAAACATCACTGAATCATTAGATATCAATAAACAGAAATAAATAATAATAATATTTTTTGCATCTTAAAAATACAGTATTTCTATCAGTACAGTAGCAATAAAAGTATAACAAAGTATAATAATAATAATGAAATAATAAAGAAAGAGAAAATATTATAATGTTAAGTATAAAAGTAAAATGTAATGTGTTAAATTTTTAAATTGTTAAAGGTTACGAAAATAAGCCACCTGAAATACAGAATATAGCGTGTATTGAATTGGGTAAAATTTTGTTAAATCTACCCACACATACAAGAAACCAATAGCATGTATTTACTCAATTACTTGTGATGTAATAATGTCCACGTCATGCGGTATTATTTTTTTCCAATACTGTACTGGTAGCATTTATTTGCCTCGTAAAACAATGCAACAATAGTATTTATTTCCTTCAGTATATGCTGTATTTTTTACTTCAGATCTGTGATTTTTATTGTACATATAATTTCATATTTCTTCTACCACTAATGTCAGAATCTTTGTAAAAAGTAGATCACAGATCTTCCATGCTTTCATTTAAGGTTTCTTCATTGGCATCAACTAAGCTATGTAAAATAAATGCATGTTGTTCAGTTTCTGAAAGCCCACACTTACCATTCCAATGAGCTGATTTCATAGAGTGAGACTGGGAGTAAATGGAGAAAAAGATGAAGACAATTATAGAATAATCAATCACTAGATGTTTGCCAATAAATCTTATAAATCAACTCTTTGTGGTTTTGAATTGTATCATTTTTTTATCATTATATATCAGATGTGACAGCAGTTCAAGAGAAACAGTGTTCAATTCATATCTCTAAAACAAATCACAATGATTATCAAGATTAATATTATTTAGACACCATACATAAAGTAAAGGAACCATGAACAATGATGGGCATTTTCAGAATAATCTGATAAAAATAATCAAATAGTTTTCTGTTGCAATTCTAAGATATTCAGACAATATGGTGTTGTGTGAAATGATTATTAGATGTATAATACACAATCATAGCAGTGACAACACCTATCAACTCGTGCAATTTCACTCACTTTGCAAGCATCATCACAAACCATATACTGTATATTGCAGCACATAATTGCAAAGTTTAAAGTAACTTAATTATAGTATTTACTATTAAATTTCCCCATGTTAACTGCGGTCTAAATTTGATCAATAAATGGCATGTTAATGAACAGTGTTGCCTCAACAATCCAATTTGCTTGATTTCCGTGATATACATAATAATTATATTTAGTGATTAATTAAGGGTTGAATCATTAAATATTTGCAGGAAGGGTTACTTTAAAACTGTCTGAAGTGTCTGATATGTATACCACAAACATGCATCTTTCTCAGGGTAATTTGCACTAAATTGTATTTGAATTGTAAACGTTTATTTAAATGGCCACTCTCTACTATTATTTTCTCAAACATTATGTTGGTGACTCCCAACTATTTTGTCATATCCTTCTTTTGCCTGTGAGTACAATTAATTGGTAAGAGAATAAATCCTTATTTATGAGTACCGGTAGGCTTCTACTGCAAGTCAGAAGAAAAAGAAGATTGAGTTTTGGATATTCCTTGTTGACATCAGAAGTAGAATACCACAAAGCTGGATATTTTGAATCATTCTGAAGGCCCTGTCACACTTTCAAAATTTTTTAGGATACAGTCATAATAGTTATAACTACAATTCCTATCAAATATCAACATATATATTTTGATATACAATACCTCTATATAAATGTTCAAATATGAGGTGTGTGTTTTGCCAAAAAGGGACAAGACCAGTGCTGCACTTGATTTGTATCCAACCGGAGATATATATGACACATAACTATTAGATACCGGGAACTGTAGGCAAGATACAATGTAGGTATTCATTACATTGAAAAGAAGTATCAGTATGCTGAAGAGTTCCATCATTGGTTTAGATGTAAACTACTGGTAACATCAATCACTTCTATAAATGGTACAACTATAATGTATGATTAGAAAGTTAATTTAATTGGTGGAGTTCATTAAAATTAATCGAAGGCAGCATACATGTGCTGACAATCACTCTTCCTGGGAATTATATTCACTGAAAAGTAAAATAACCAGTAAATAAAATGAGATTGAAACTACAGGTGAAACTTCAATACGAATATTTGCATTACTTTCTAATTTGCACAATCACTATACATTGCTGCATATTTGTATGCAAATAGCATCCTTCCGTGAATCAATGATAAGTCATATTTGTATGAGCCTTCAAGAAATACTGCATATCCCAATAAATAGAATAAATGGCTAAATACTTCACTTATATGCATGCAAGGATGTGACCAAACAATGATGACCGAAGCACACTGGGATGTCTATATATTCGTCTTTTCAACATCTTATAATCAGGCAAGCGATTTTATATACATAGCGATGTGATCAGACCATGTGCCGAGAGGGCAATTAGTATCAATAGAGTGAATGCATTTTGCCAGCAGGTATAGAGATCACAGCGGATAACCTCAGATAGACATATGTGTCAATTAACACAAAACCTTTGATCCTTTAACATTCTTGCTGATCAATCATCATGATAAGGTGTCAAAAATAGAGTCTGTGGACTTTTAGAAATCACCAATCCATGCCCACAAACCCAAAGGTATGTGTTGATTATATTATATGTGTAAATTAGAATTAATAGGAATACATTTCTGAAATTATCCACAGCTTGATAAATAATTCACAACAATAGTGGTATTGTTTTTCAGAGAATTTAATCAAGGTTGTATCAATGGTTTACCATGCCACCTAATTTGGTTATGATGTCAGGCTTTTTACTTTTTCAATCAAACCAAATTTTAAATATTCAATATACATCATGTCATAGATATACAGATATATTGGTTTGACGATCCTATTAAAAAAGGCCAAATGGTGGCCATTTTTGTGCTAAAAAATCATCAAATATCAAGCATTTCTGGCATTTCTGGATGGATTTCGTTCAAACATGGTACATACATTAGGCATTACAGGTTCCTGATGCACAATATTTTATTTTTTAGATCGAATTCAGAATGGCTGACTAGTGGTCATTTTGTTTTAATGAATGGGCTTCTAGAGCAATATCTCTGACATGCTTTGACAGACTATGTTCAAATTTTATATATTCATTATACATGTATTCAAAATAGCTGATTTTGTTTTAATTATAAATGCTGTTCCAGAGCAATATCTCTCATTACTGTTTAACGATCAGATACAAATGTCAATCATTTAAATGTTAAACAATCATCATAATCATATTCCTGACATGTTTATATTACAGCTATATTAAACAAAACTATATATCTTAAATTCGGTAACTAACAGGGACTGTGTCATGCATGGCTTGTCTTCAGAAGATTGGGACAAAAAAAAAACTTTTTTGAGTAAAAACTGAAAATTGAAACAGATTTTGTCTATTGGCTCCAAAATTAGTATTCATTTCCAAAAATATTGGAGAATATAAGAAAAATGTGCAGACAAATTTGGACACGGAAGTCTGGTGGTGAAAAAGTTAAACCATGATTAGAGTAGAAAAATGACAGAATGCCAATATATGAGGGTTAGTTGATGAAACAAAGCAAGCAATCATAAAACACTGTAGAGACTCATGAAGTACTTTTTCCTTTTTTCACAGCCTTGATTTGTTTGACACAAATTAGTTAGGACATTACCAGTAAGTAAAATATTGTTTTTATTCAAATTGTGTCATTAGAAACATGACATCATTTGATCTTATCATGCATTTAATAGGTTGCTAAGCAACTGGCAGATACTTTAAAATTTGATGTGTTTTTATTTTCTTGAGGTCAGAAATCATCTAATGCATTTGTTTCATCAAACACGATAACTCATCTGTTATTGGTTTTATGCAGAAGTGATGAAGTCATATGTTATTGGTTTTATGCAGAACAGATGAAGTCATCTGTTATTGGTTTAGTACTTCACTACTGACTGACTTTACCGATAACTAAGACTCCCATCATTGAAATAATCAAAAATTTCATCTCAACTGAGAACTGAGACCTCATTTTGAAAGATTGTCACAAATGCGTGTGCAGGATATTGCTATGGTTACTCTCATCTTTGCTCAAGTGGCAATATCCGTGCATCAAATGAATAAAACATGAACACTATTATATATTCAGCAGATTTCCAAGTGTGAAATATTCAAAGACTGAGATTTATTTCAGAAACATTGTTTAATGTACCATATTTGCTAAATCATTCTTGCAATGATCTAGTAATGTTAAATATGATTATTATTTATGACTGGGTATCTATTTCTTCGTTCTCAGGTTTTGTGTGAAATTTAGGTCATATCCCAAGCTCATATATATACCAATGTCAAGGACGAACTTGAGTTTCCGTCTGTATTGGATGCATTTGAGAAAACAAAGGAAAGAGTAATAATGACAAAAAAATTCCAATGAAACACATAACATTGGCATGGACATGAAACTGTAATGAGTTGCTTTTTGTGACAAACTTTAGAAAATGGTTTAGTGTGTCAGCAAAGGGGAGGAGAATTGAAATATAAAACAAAATGGCTGCCAGTTGGTCATCATCTGATTTACACGGTACCACTGAAGCCATCCCAGCCATCCCTACGAACCCATGTGTGATCATGTTAAGAAAATTTAACCTCAGTTAAATTGAATGATTTGATTGGGTGTGCCAAGGAGCTAGATCCACCAATCAGCAACCCACAGCAATTTCAAATTTGAATCAATAGACTTTAATAGCCATCTTATATCACTTCATAACTAATTGACAAAAATACATGACTTTTTGTTTCATTTACCATGGAAACACACCAGAGCATAAACAGGTTTATAGTGGGATTCCTTCCATGGTTTAATGGTGAAATGATGGACAAATAAACAAACCAAGGCTGGTGAAGATGCCCCCAAAAAAAATTGGTCAAAAGATGACTTAAAAATAAAATCAACATAGCTGCCATTCAGCCAATTTGAGTCATAAAATAAAATGACTATAAACTATTTTCATATAGTTACTTACAATGACTAAAGACATGGCTTATTCAGTATTCAAATGAAGTCTATTGCCAGCAGTCTGATGTATTATGCAGTATCAAAATAGTCATATGACTTGTTTTAAAGGCCACTTACTGTGTGTGGCTCACACTTCAATATTTTTGGCGGGACAGCCATTACATGGTTTTGGGTACTGATCTGTGCGACTGTGTGTAAACAATTGTGGTTTCATTGTTCCTGGGTTTGAATATGCAAATTGAATATGATTTCAGATCTCTGTTGATTGTTGTACATTCAAAATGATTTCACGAGCCTGACAAGATGCACAATAATGACAGTGTTGCAGGGATTGTATGTGACTTTATTGTCAATAATTTTGGAATTGATTTTAGGTCTCTGTCTTTTTATTATGTATGTAGTCAGGGATTGAAATAGAATTTTTCCCCTGCATGCACAGTGTGCACGTTGAATTTGAAATTTATCTGCACTAACTTGTTGTGAAATGCATGGCCACCAATTTTAAAGTTTTAATAAAATTTACAGGTTCTCGATCTATTCGATCATGAAAGAATTTGTTTTTTTTTGGGTTATCTTACAATATTGGTTGAACTTAATTTAGGCTCAGTGAATATAATGAGAAAATGTGTTAATTTCTACATGCACAGCGTGCACATTATATTTTGAGTTTACTTGCACTAGCTAATAATCTATGTGCATAGTGCAGTGTGCACCAGAGTATTTCGACCCCTGGTAGTGCAAAAAAGATCAACTGTCATACTGACAGGGGTTAATTAAAATGACCTGGATTTCAGTCTCAAGAAAAGAAGTAATGTTTTGCATTATACAGTTATACTAGTATACCATTTTGACTCATCTTTTTGGTTGCTTATGTCATGTAAAACCACATGACCACCAGTCAAAACAGTTGATGAAATGTTTAGATTTTTTGGACGATAATGGCTGGTAGTTGGTTAAAATTCAACAAAGTGAAAAACAAATTGACATGCATATGTATACATAACATTATATCTGGTCTTTTTACCAGCTTTGATGAAAATTGGTACAAGTGTATCTGAGAAAACAAAACAAAATGGGCAGGAGTTGGTCGGAATTAGAATGGAATAAGAAAGCAGGATAGATATAAAGGGCTAAATTTATATAGCAAGCGTGTATATGCTCCCACAGTAACCATAAACTACAAGCTATTGTATTGACAAAATGGCTGGCAGTTGGCCATTTCAGATTAGACTATGACACAGATAAACATTCATTTATGAATACAATCATCTTTGTAACAAGTTTTGACCTCACAGCTCAGTGTAAATATGAGATAAAACCATAATTGTGTATGAAAGACAAAAAATTCAGATTTTCATAAATAAATGTTTGGCAGTTGACCATCTTGGGTTGGATCATCACATTATTCAAATTCCATCTTTGTGAAACAATACAATGCCTCTGTACCAAGCTTGAATAAATTGACCAAAAAATTGAGTAATTTTTTTAGGCATAGTAAGCCATACACTGATTGATAAATAATGAAATTACTCAAAATATTCTGTAAATTGTTTTTTTGATTAGAGTGACAAAAATGCACTTGCTATAGGGATGAAGCATTGACAGTGCCGGTGTGAAATTTTTAATAAAGCGGCTTTTAAAAACAACATATCAAAATGAATTGACAATCTGACCCTGACAGCTAGCAGATGAACATGATTTGAAAATGAACTACGCTAGGCAATATTTTTGTCATTACCGTAATTGCATTTTTTTTTATTTTTTAGCTCATAATGAAATTATGTATTTATGAATGCACCAAACAGTGCTGTATTATCTCTACTTAACAGCAAAATAGTACAGGTGTCAATGTAATTTGGTCATATCAACGTTTTAGAATTATGAATTAAAAGGGACATGTTTTTCATCTTTGTGTTTTTCACATTTTCAATCCAAATATTACTGAACCAAATTGATGTGATAAGAAAACACAGTGACATGTCATGACATGACCATGACTTAATAATATGTAAATTTATGCTAATAGTATGTAAATGTATGCATTGTTGGAGTTTGAATTTCTGGCTTGCACACATGCAGCCTGAACATTTTATTATAAGCATGTTCATTTGCTACCATATACATGTATGTAATTAGGGCTCAATATTATGTGGACTAAAAAAACCAAATCATGCCCCTTCCATCAATTTATCTGGTTGGGCTATACAATGCTATTCATATTTCAGACATGACTCCCCATCCCCGCCAAAAAAAACATCGTTCCTGCTACCTCCACCCACCTCACACATAATAGTCTACTTACAGTATCAAAATAGTCTTGTATATTTGTGGCATGCCTAGTAGATTTGATGATACAAAACATGTTTTCCACTCACTCACATTGTACAATGTCATATTAAGTACACAATTAAAAAAACCTAATTCTAAAAAGTCATCAATAAATACTCATTGAACGCAAAATGAATACTCGCCAAAAATAATTATCTTGAGTAATTATTAAAAATACCACTACATTTATCTATGGAAACAAGTGTTTTTTAAAGCAGCAGAAATTATAATTATTTCTTGGTTTTGTTTTTTTGCTTTGATATCTAAACGTGATAAATTAAAACTCAACAAAAACAATAGAAAAAAGTAAAGAATTTAAAAGTAGTGAAATATCCCTGCAAACATCAAAACCCAGTGAATATTTCTTTTATAGTACACAAATACTTTATATTCTGGTGGCCATTTTGAATTGAAAATTGTGACAATGAAGATTATTTGAATACAATATTGAACTGAATCTAGACTGTTTATTATACTCAACTATTAGGCCAGAAATTCAAATTTCTTGTTTTTTATAAACCTAGTCATGTAACTCAGTATGTTATGAAAAATTACGCAGAATTCCTGTTAAGAAATGTGTTACTAGCTAGAACAGCCATTAATATAGGAAATATTGATGTTTTTTGATAAAAGCAAAAATTGCTAAGCAAGCAGCTGCCATTTTGAAGCATTCAGTTGAAGGACTACGCAACTATCATACAACAATACGCCGAGAGCAGTATCACTAGCTCAGATTACTTTCCTCACCTGACCATGAATTGAATAGATTGATTTCTAATATCAAGCATGAACAGGTTATATAATCTGACATGCTCTACTTTAATATACATGATCAATTTGTAATTTTGATTCTGCAAAACTTGAATCTAGTAATATACTGTATATAGGGTTTAAATTACAAGTTTTACACTCACTTATTTTGTTGTTGGCTAAATATGCTAATTTAAAACCAGGTGAAATGGTAACCACAAACCCCAATTTTAAAGAATCTGATATACATGTATATTAGGCAATATTTGGTAAATGTGGCTCTAAGTAACTATTTTAAATAGCTAGATACAATGGCAATGGTTCTTCTTAGCTAGCATATGAACACATTTAATTATTCACTGGTTTTTAATTGTAAATTCCATGCAACCATGTAAAATATCAATAAATGTCATCGTTTTTCTCTCTACAGTAATATTTTGATAAAAGTTAGTTGAAATTTAATGAAAAATATCTGTAACATGATTTACATGACATTTCAAGAAAATTGCATTTCTTTCTTCAAATTATCTATAGAGGGCAGTCTTTCATATTTGTTTGAAATCTACTTGTCACCATGACAACATACTTCAACACAAGAGGACAGTATACATTCAAGTCCCATTTCACTGTCTGAGCATTACAAGGAAGTGGACGTCTCAGTTGTACATGTTATTAATGTTAATAAATATATTAGTACAAAATCTTAAGGTAAACAGTTTTCTTTGCATGAGAGATATCTTGATAAGATCTAAAATATTTATTTTTCCATTTCCATTGAGACCTAGATGAAATCATCAGCGTCTGAACTTTTATTGCACCTCGTCTTAAGCCGTTAAGTGCCATACATTTTTGATCTGTATATGCAGTCATTCCTTGAAGCATTCCCCAAATCATGATTGATTTCTTTTTCAAATGTTACTCGTGTCTTGCAAGCTTTTTAAATAACAGTTGTGTAATCCCTTGTCCATTAGAGAGACGAGTTTGTAACCTTTTAAACGAGGGTAGACCATCCAGATTTTTCAGTGTTGCATGTATTATATGTTGTGTTGCTTATCAGCCCTGCATTTAAAATACGTCTGTTCCCATTCCAAGTAAGCAACACAAAAAATGCACAAAACAAATAATTTATTTCCATTTTTAATTGTTGCATTTTTTGTTGCACAATCTGTGTATCAGCCATAAGAGGTAAATGGCATCCAACTTCATCAATAAATATCATTTTTATTGAAGCAGACCAGGAAAAATTGTTAACAGACCACTGGGCATGCAAGTTTTAATTTTTAACCTGACTTGAAAGTTACCTGTTTTGGGCATACAGATGGGCAGTAATTTCAAACACTGGCTATGTGCATTTAAGTGTTATACATAAACAAGAATGTGTATATGTTACTATGGATAGTATGGGACCCACATGGAATACATGAGTTTATGACATCCATTGACCTTAGACACATGATCCAGCTGCTAAGGATGGAGTAAATATTTCAAAACCATGGCAACAGCAATCAAATAAGCCAGCACTATGATCTGGAGCTTATTTAGTGAAACTCAGACATATTATTTACATGAGTTTACCAAAATAACGTTAAAAGATCATGTTATAAAAAATAACATGGTCAAAACGCCTAATGGATTTAACCTTATACAAAATAGTTTTCTCCCAAATGAGAATTTAATAAAATGTGAAAATATTTGCACCAAACTTTAGGTAGGATAAATATAGGGCACTTAAAGGGTTAATGTTCAGCTAATATTCTCTCTATGAATGATCTATAGCAATAGCCTTTCATAGTTTAAACCAACTTGTCACCATGACAACATGTTTGCAGTATAATTAACAATATTTCAAATCAAGTTTAATTTATTAAAATGTTTTCATGTATGATGGAAGACAAAGATGCTTCATTTAAAACAAAATACAATATTTAACCATACTGAATCAAATAAATAATTGGAAAAGGAAGGCATACTAATCCAAAAACACCTTCAGAATACCAAATTAGTGATCATTGCTCACTTTAAGAAATAAAATCCCCATATATAACCCAGTGAAATATGAACCAATCTCCAAAAATCCATTCATTTATTGCAAAGCACAGATAAACGTATTATCAAATCTGTAGAAAAATTCATACAAAATTTTTTTCTAGCTAGAAATGAAAAACATATGTAGTCTTATCCACAATTATTTTCATTTTATTTTATTCTTTGTTGCTATACCTGTATATTGATAATAACATGTTTTTCTAAAGTTGCAATAGTTATTATTATTAGCAGTAGTAATTTAATATTATTGTTTATTTTTTTTATGTGTATTTATTTTGACTTGTTTAATTTCTTTATTATTTTACCCTTATCAGTGTTCGATTAATTTTGGCAAATCTAAATACTGCCACTAGAGGGCGATCAGATTCTACAATCAATACATTGCCTCTAGGGGGCAGTATACACTTACCATATCTGTATCTCTAGTCCATATCTGTACACATTTACCATGACATATCGCACAGGATCTATTTATAGCATATCCACCACACTCTGAGCAACCTGGTGTCATGTGACCATTGTACCAGCATGCATTGCAACTGAAATTTAACAGTTTCAGGCAAAATATAATAATATAATTTCATTTATTCGTCTAGAATACTGTGGTGTGGTGTAATTAGTTCATCATTTCGCTAAACATAACAGTGTTCATTGTCTCAAATTACATCAAACCAAATGACTATAAAATTGTGTTTAGTTCTAGTTAGATCAGTAACCAATCAGAATTCAGATCATTCCAGTAAGGTATCTTCTAATAAGTCATAGAGTATCTATTTAAACACAATTTAGAAAGTCTTTTAATCATATCTAGTTTAAACTGGCCAATTGAAAACAAAATTAAATGCTACCCTCATCAAATTTCAATTCATTCTGTTTCCCAATCCCCCAAGCCAGCTACATACCAACACAGTTCAGAGTTTTAGGAGAAGTTATTCAAGGACAGACAGACACATGGCTAGATGGCTAATGCAGCATCAAGTCACTGTAGAACATGAATTTCAGTATCTAATGGGTACCACATAAATTAAAGTTCTGAAGGCTCAAAGGGAATATCAATATTCATTGTGTTCAGTGATTTGATTGGTGATAAAAATAATCAATGCATGTATTATATATCATCTACAATTACTGACTTGGAACATGTATTATATATCATCTACAATTACTGACCTGGAACATGTGTTACTGTAAAGGGGGTAATTATTCACTGGGTTTTAATTTAGCTTATTTCGCTGACTGGAAAAATGCGCTAAATTAAAACACAGTGAATATGTAAAATTTAGCATAAAACACATTATCTAAATGACGAAACAGTGAATTTAAAACCCACTGAATATGCCTGAAATGGTAAATCAGTGAAATTTAAACCCAGTGAAAATTAGTCATTTTACAGTATATCATCTACAATTACTGACCTGGAACATGTATTATATCTTCGTTGATACTCTTCACTCTGTAATAACTCTTGTAGTGACTGTTTTGTGTAGTCTTTACACTGTTTTTCATATTCTTGCATTGTCACTTGTTGGGCATACATGTGAGGTGAAGGCTTCAGATTACTCTCCATTAAGCCTGCCATCATAATTTAATTTGTAAAGTGGAAATTTCTCATGATTTCTTCAAAACAGTTACTGTATTTTTTTTTTGATCTCGAAAAGTTCATAAAAAATGTAATTAATATTCACATTCTTCAATTAATACTACATGTACTGTGTTAATCTCAATGTAAGATTAATATAACATGAATTGTACAAAGTTCCTAAAGGGTACAGCAATATATCTCAGCAAAAGTTAAGGAGAAAAATCCTGGCCAGCATTTTGGCGGGAAAAGTACTGGTCAATTTTTGGCAACACAAATGATTTATACTACATAATGAAAATAACATCAGGTTACTGCAATCAACAGATCTAATTACAGAGAAAACCAATGATATTTTGACATTGGGATTGCTCTGAATATTGTAAGAGCAGAATAACTGATTTCATTGTTTGTTTCAAAATATTTTTAACATTTTTAACTGTTTGAGTTTACACCAGAGATGTAGATGACAAAAACAGCAAGAACAAACATTGTCCCCTCGTATACCTTTTTCTTCATTTATGATTCATCAAAGTTAAAATTATAACTCTAATGCTATTATAAATAGTACCTGACACAGGTTCATCATCACCATGGTGATTATCTCTTGTTGCTCCATCATCATCCATATGTTCATCTTCATTATCAGATTCAAATGTTACCCACAATCCTAACTTCCACATTTTTCTTGAAAACAAACTTTCATCAGCTGTGGTGGGTTATTGATTATACCCACAATGCATTGCACTACAGAATATCTGTTTGAAAAATAGAAATGTTTTTTAGCATGGTTTAAGTCATTTCCAATAGAATCACAAATAAATCAAAAATAACAATTTGTTATATACTGAATATAACGTATTTTGACTATAGACGTATGCGTTACAAATAAAATAAAGCATTTTTTTTTACAGTTTTTAATGAAGTCATATATGTTTAAAATATCATCAGCAAAAATATTATGAAGTCTTTCCACATGCTACATGACAGAAGAACGCACAAACCAACTCTGATCAAACTTGTTTCAAACTTTAACTTGCAAATATTATATTTATTCACAACACTGAAGCTGAAGAAATAAGCTGCAGTACCACAGCTAGCTGCAACTGACCTTACCCTACCTTTATTTTGCTCTTGTTAACGTTTCTTTTTGCGTGTTGGGTCGCTGTAAGCCACCATCAAGTAAGTACTACACACCGGACATGGGTCTATGAGATTAGCATTAATGTTACTAAAGTATATATATATAAGTATATATAAAGTAAGTACAGCTTGTGTTCAAATTTTATGTGTACTTATTTATTACTACCGAAAAGAAACAATACATTTCTAATTTAGTTAAAAAGTGTAATAAGGGTATAAATTATGTTTGTTAAACTAAAGTTTAATAATGGAAATAATGGAAAAAAAATAGAATTGTTATTGCTGTTTTAATATAGTCAATTAGTTTCATTAGCAATAGTTTTTTGTTTGTGTTTACTAATGAATAAACTTTTGAATTTTATTGAGGTGTTTGAACTGGTACTTTGATTTTGGGAAAAATTAATACAATGTATTTCTCGGTTTAGTGAATAGTCTGCATGAAGTGTTAAAATGTATCTCATCTTAAATTTCATTGCATTTTGTATGCTTTCTCTGGTCTAATTCAATTTTTGGCATCTGATGGCATCCATATTCAATATTCAGCATGTGAGTTTAGATAGTAGTCCAATATCTGTTTGTTGTTTTAAAGAAGTACATATGGTGAAATTTCTATTTTTTTTTCTTTTCGAGTCTACCCGTTTCAATTTTCGCATAATGGTTGTCTAATCGAAATCTGCTTAATTCTTCACGTTTGGTCGGGTAGTTTTCTAGTGTTATAATTTATGCACTTCTGAATTGTCATTTTATTTCTGTTAATGCACAGTCACTTGGGGGCTGAAAATCAATAAATACTAATTTTCAAAAAAAAAATCATCTGCTATACATATATAAATAAACAAGTTGTGAAACACGGCACCTAGTAAATCGACACCCTGTCGGTTTCAAATGTCGATTTCTTACCTTAAAATGCAAAACAAAAAGTGCAGAGGGGGTCAGGTGCTATGTTAATAACCATTGT